AAATACCAAGAATGCGCTTAATACTCTACTAAACTAGTCCAAAGTTACTCAAAGTGCTAATGCACTAATTACCTACTGTTAGAGACCAAAATCAGTTAATAATTAAGTTTATTTTGTTTTAATTAGGAGGAAATTAATCATGTTAGAACTGCGCAGCTACAGCATTCACGAGATGAAAAATGCATTGAATATAGTGTTAATTTGATTCATTGATAATATGGCTACAACCATTTGTTTCGCTTTTTTTCTTGTCATTATCCAAAATTCTTGAAAATTTGATTTTTCATATGGGTGTCTTCCTGAGGCCATGTGTTCATTTCGCCCACCATTCCTCTGTCACACAGAGTTCGAATAGCATTGGTTTTAAAATAAATGCAACCATAATAACATCAAGACAAGAAATTACTAAGTAATAATCATTAGGTTATATTACTTACTACTTTTATTTGTTGCATTGCATCGTCTGATTAATGAAAAAAAGCGATTTTAACCCCACTCCAGCAAATCGGGAAAAACTGTTCTGTTTACAGCTCGAGTTTCCTCGATAATATCATTCCACTGAGCACGTGGTTGGCATGTGCATATATCTGCTGTGGATAGATGCGTTTATTACCATGATTATATATTTAATTTTTCATGGGACAAGTCTTGATGATTTGTTGGTTTCTTTAAAACTCAAGAAAAAAGATAAAACATGGCCTAAACATATGTGATTACGGTGGGTCTTTTTTCTGTGGCGATAGAAGTTATTTTCAAATGGGGCACTGCAAGGAGGATGCTTAGCATTTAATTTGAAAAAGTTAAACAATATACGGTGCATGAAAAACAAATTGTAATTACATGTCTTACATTCGAAAAGTTGGTACATGTGTCTATTTTGTTTAGCAGTTAGATAGAAAAAATAGGCAGTTATAGGATTTCCTTCAGGCACCTCACAAAAATAGCTAGATTGTTTGCAATGAACCACACATAGTATGGAGTAATGTTTGGACATAAAAACGCATCATGTCTCATTATGTTGACAACATTGTAAGCTCTCGCTCATTGAACATACGAAACTTGATAAAATATATTGAGTTGTTTCTTTGAAATTTAGAAGCAAGCACAATGTTTGCAAAGAAAAGTCCATTGCATATGCTATGTCTATCACGCAAAAAAATGAGAGGCTACCCCCCCCCCCCCCCAAAAAAAAAATCCTATGTTTGTTTTTCAAAATAGTGCCAAAGATTCAAAAATTTTGCATTAGATGGAACATGTACTAACAATTTGTTATAAAAATATTTGGTTGCCCTCTCTCCCGATCTACTGCCTAGAAATGACCCGACTCATTTTTTTTTTACATCCCATTACATGTTTTTTTTTCTTCCGTCAACGAATATGTTTAAAATTTTAGGAATTTTTATCTCACCTATAAATACGGACCCAATAATTTTTCCCTGAGTTGGGAGGACCACCAAACGTCATTAAGATGGTATAAAATGTTTATTAATGTTGATTTTGTTCTTTACTCTGTAAAATTGTAATTTTGACAAAAAGGGCAAATAGAAAAGGTTTTTGTATTCATTAAATCTCCTAACCCACTCTAAATGATTTCATTCCTTTTCAAATGTTGCTCCGCTAAAATCAAAATTGTAAATGTTTATTAGACAGAGTATACGAGGGTAGACCAAAAAGTAAACGATATATCTTAGGTATTTGATAGTTATATTATTGTTGAAATATTCAAGTATTTTTTAAAGTGTAAATTGGAGGTCTTTGATAGCATATTGCTTAATTAAAAACACATCCCTTTTCAAACTTGCTAATATATCACTGGGCAATATAACAAGTATCATATTTAACCATCTGCCTTCCTTCACTAAAACGATCTATCCAATCATTGATTGAATTTGTAGGAAGTCATTTGTCTTAATAAACTATGAACAAATTCTTATATGCTACTTCAAAGGCATTTTTAAGATATACCATAAATATTTTAGTCGTTTGTTAAACGAGTACCACTGAGGCAACCATTTATCGTCACAAGTACCTGCATAATGACGTCATTATGAGCAAAACTTTATTCAGCATATATGCTATTTTATAGAACTTGTGTTTGGCTATGTGTGCACCAAATTTGTTTCTAATCTGAATTGTGGTTTTGTAGATATAGAGATAGTTCGCGAACTTTTTGATCACCCCTCGTACTAGTAGGTACTAAATCAAGGTCATTCATATCGATTTTATGTGTTTAATTTCTTTGTGTTTCATTGGTGATAATTAAAATTTTGATATATATTATAAGTTATCTGTGGCAAACTTACAAACTCTTAATTCTTAACTTTGATGGTGCTCATTTTTCCTTACCTGCAATAAAAGAGTTTAAGATTTTTTTTCTTTGATATCAATAAGTACATTATTTAACAACTGTGCGATAATAATACTAAATAAATTACTTCAAGCCATACTATAACACATTTCTTCTTTTAAAAGTGTTCATACTATTTGAAATATTTTGCAACTGTAATTCTCTTCCACATTTAAAGATTGTTATGTCCCTCCATATTAAGAAGAGGTCTGGAAAACAAAATTCTGTGCTAAAAATAGACCACGTGCTGCTATCCATGAACTACTTTCATGGTTCTTTACACTCTTTTTCAAGACAACGATACCTTGTTTTGAACTTGAAATTATCATTTAAAAGTGCAAAATTTAGACATTTTCTCAACAAATGGTTGTAGAGAGAACATTGATGCACAGTTTGCATATTTTTTTTGATTTTTTAACGCTCTGCTGAATTCTGTAGCTGCGCAGTTCTAAGGAGCATATCAAAAGCATTTTTCTGCAAAAGTATAGGTTATATATGCACAACATGCATTCAGTTATGAATATTTATTGTATCTTTATCATAAGGACTTAAAATTTGATCAAAATATGATGTATTTTAGCCATTTGAAGAAATGTTTACATTTTGTTCTCACAGCACTAAAGGTGGCCGTACATCCTCCTTAAAACACGAACCAAAGTGTATTGTTGGAAAGTTGTTGAATGATACTCATGTGACCTATAAGGCCCGTGGGTCTCTTATTTCCTTTAACTTGATAAGCAATGACGCCCCGTTCAAAATTCTGAATTTCATGGCCTCTGGTTTAAAACACGAACCAAAGTGTATTGTTGGAAAGTTGTTGAATGATACTCATGTGACCTATAAGGCCCGTGGGTCTCTTATTTCCTTTAACTTGATCTTCCCTATATCGTATTATTCACTGTTACATCTTATCTTCATCTAACGTCTTATACCCTCTAAAGTCTTACTCTCTAACTTTTCAGGTTGTTGGAATCATCCTGGCTGTTGGGATATTTCTGGGACTCTGCAGTAGGAAGACAACTCAAAATTGTAAAACAAACCACGGTGATCAATGTTTAGATGCAATTCCAACAGAGAATAACAAACCAAATGACTTATGATGAGTTTTTATCTGAGAAATATAGCTTTATATCAATAAATCACACTACCTTTTGTAAGGATACGATTTTTAGGAAGAAATTATAGCTTTACATCAACAAACCTCACTATACCTTTTGTAAGGATGTGATCCTAACGAAGAAATTATAGCCTTAAAACGTGATTTTTTAGAAAATAAAAATTATGCAATGTTATATATTTAAAATGTAACATCTAATTTTTTAACATAAAAAAACATTTTTTTATTTTGAAAAAAAATATCAAGGTACTTTATAACAGCATTTTTTAAACTGTTATCATTTTTTTTCACCCCTTATCCACATCATAACTCCTCTTTGACTGGTAGACAAGAGGCTTACTCCCAAAAACACCTGACCAATTTTGCACTGGAAATCGATGAACTAGACTTTAAGATATTAAAAGCTTCATATTCACATTTTCCGTCAACGAAAAAATTGCAGATTCACCCGAAAATTTGATAATGGAATTGATTTAAATACCGAGAATCTCTACTTTCAACCATGCAAAAATTATTATAGTGCCCCCCCCCCAAAAAAAAACAAACCAAAAAACTTTTATGGACTGTAATATGTGTAAATGTATGAACTAACACCGTGATTGACGTAAAATTGGAAATGTTGAAAAAACAGGTCATAAATGATAACACTGGCTTGTTAGACTGTACACGTACAGGAGGGATGGGAAATTTTCTTTCAACAATTTGTAAATAATAAAATTGTGACGATTTATTGATAATGTAGATAATGTCATATTACATGTACAGAAAACAATACACAGACATTTACTGATGTTTTACTGCAATTATCAGAGACTTTATATAATGTTGTGAGTTGACGACTTGATATGCTTCTCGCTTCTTTTTAATAAAAAAATGAAACATAACTCTGTTGTTTTTCCCATATCGTTTGTACTTTAACCATTGCAGTATTCGAGATTTTCACCTCAAAACATGCATATGCATTGTGAAAAATATAACCCCCGATAAAAGATCCACCTTAACTCCAGATCTAATATTTCAAAAAGAGAAATGTTTGCATTTTTATACTACTTAATCTGTCCTTATCTCTCTAGAAGAATTTTTGATTTCCGATATATTTTATTGTAAAAAATAATATTCCTTTTATTGTCTCACCTTAGTCCAGGAACCGTTATGAACCGTAAAAGTGATGTTTATTGTGGAGACATGAACAAACACTGGAAAAAAGAATATGGATGAGGTCAAATGGTCATTTAAAAAATTAAAAATTTTTTAATAATTGTTGAAAACGACAAACACCCCGTTTGTCGTTTTCAACAATTATTAAAAATTTTTTTTGTTGTTTGCCTAAGTAGTTGAAAACATGTAAATATTTTATATCAAACTTACTAATCATCTAAAAGAGAAAACTCCAAAGGACATATGTACAGGCTTTAGGGGAGTTATACTGCTTATCAAAGTCAAAACATTGGATTAACGTAGAACGGATCACAAATAAAACTAGAGATACTGTGAGCAGTGAGCTTACTAAATGATACCCGTATGATTATAAATGGCAAGGTCTATGTTTTGCTCTGAAAGAGACCCGAAATAAGTGTCAGATCAAAAAGTAAAATAGGAGGTCCACAATGGCATTACGTAAAAAAGAATCTGTGAAAGTATCATTAAATTTTATTCAGTGGTACCGTAAAGTTGGAGATGAAGATTAGAGATTGCTACCCTTCAATATTATAGAAAGAATGGCAGCGTCATTGTTTTGCTATGCGAAACCCAAAATATGTGTCGGATCAAAAAATAAAATATATAGAAGGTACACAATGGCGTTCCATATGTTATATGCAAATACAACAGACCCTCAGTTTCATAAAGTTTTAGTTCTTGTATAGAGGTTATATAGAACGAAAGAATTGCACCCACTCCACAATGTGACGCTTAAGTCTTGTCTGTGTCTCATGCGATTTAAAATTTGGTGAGGCTTCACGGTTTATAAAGCGTAAACTGCCCCAAGTTATGTTATATAGTATAATATAAGTTGAAATAAGCTTCATTCCTTAAATAAAAAAGCAATTGAAAGACATCACAAGCCAGGCATTCAGCATCAGTATGACAGAAAATTGTATGTTACATAGATCATTTGAGTGTTATTCCATTTGATTTTATATTTGTAAGTTAAATATATTTATGACAGGAAGAGAGGTTAAAGAAATGATACAACTGCATCTTTTTTTTTTTTACAGTGATGTTGTTTCTACAACAATGTTGTGTGTGACCAAGTTTGAATCAGGCTGCAAGAATCATTCAATATTTAAAATATCAAAACCAGTAATACAACAGCTTCATACAGCATGCAAAGCTGGTAAGGACAAGATTTAGAAAAATAATATGACTCAATTTCTTTAAATATTCCACCAGTTACTGTAGTATATAAAATATGGTCTGTTTCTGAGAACAATCTCCTTTTAAAAATAAAGATTAAATTGACATATTCATCAAAGATTTGTAAACCTATTAAAACAAAGTCTTCTTCCAAAATTGTAAAATTATTTGCTGGATTGCCCATAGTTCAGAACCCAGTGTCGAATATCTGTCATGTGTTTCTATCTTTTAAAAAAATCTACAAGATTATTAAATCAAACTCAAATATACATGTAGATTAAGGTGCATTTTTATGTTCCATGTTTGCATTAAAGGTGATTTGAATTCTTTTTAAATAATCTTACATTAATTATGAACCTTTAGGTGAAAATAATTCACGGGGCTTTTTTGTCAATATTTTTAGGAATAGAAAAAAAACGTACTGACGCTCTTTACATTATATACTGGATTCTACTTGTAGTTTGTAAGGGCGGATGCCTATATGGATTGGATTTTCCAATTGAGAACTGCACGTAAGTATTTTGTATTTATAACTGATTTTTATTATTTTCCTTGTAACAATTTTACAGTTTGGCTTCATTTAGAATATAAACACTCTTTTAAAACTATGAAAAAAGGCGAGGTCCTTAGCATTTTTATTGTGGAGATAACTTATATTACGGTTTGAATAAATCTAAAACTTCAAAAAACTTATGGTGACACATCTTTTATTGACACACAGAGATCTTATATTGTGTCTGGAATCCCAACTTGAGAATTGTCCACAGAATAAAGACATACAAAGGAAAATTAAGGGATTGAAAAATCTTTGTTCTGACATATCTAGGAAGACAGGTTTGAGTTTTTTTTAATGAATGGGGGAAATATGTTTTTTAAATAATTTAATATTTGAAAAAGAAAAGAAATCATGAAATATACAAAAATGCTTCCTCTTAAGATTGCATTATTGGCCTTTTAAAGGTATGAATTCCTTCAAGACTTGTCTTGCCAGCTCCAAAATTAAACAGAACTGCAAGCAATTCTTAAAACCACCTTTGCAAAAAGAAACGGAAAGTAACGAATGCAAGTAAGTGTTACTTTTTCCTTATGTTAAAACAGAAAGATTGATTTCGACTTTTAAAAAAAATGTATATAGTTTGTAATATTTTTCATTCCAATAATTAGTTGGAAAAAAATTGATATTCAAAGCGCCCCACAAGAATTAATTATAAATAAGTGTTGATAATGTTAATTTTTTTTGGCCTAGAGTAAAGATTTAGTACCCAAATAAGGCAAGCTACATGTTCACGGTCACGAATAATTTTTCATGGACTTATGTAGGTTCATATAAGTACTCCTTTTAAGTTGGTACAAAATTCACATAAAGACTGTTATATATTTTTTGTTTAAATGTGACTACCTCTTTTTTATATGTTATCACAGAAGAATATCAGATTATTCATCATGTGCTACGATGGCTTTACCTACGTGTGATAATGAAGAAATTAAGGAATTTGTATCAGAAACTGCTAAAACACTTACGATTTTGAATTCAAGGCGTGAAGGTGGCATCCAGTGTCAATCGAGTAAGTTGAAAATTGGCGGTAAAATAAGGATAAATTACAAGCTTGTTTTCTTTTCAGTTCAGTGATTTCGAGACACTTCAAAGAAGTTGTACATAGCTATCAGTAACAATAACTGCCAAAAGGAACTGGAAAATGTATTATCTGTCCAAATTGTCTTTGTTCGAGATGTTTTTAAAACGATTAAATGTTATTTATCAATGTCAGTGAAAATCGGGAAAAACATGCCATGCCAGATGGTAGGAAATAAAATATGATTTTATTTACATATTGTAGATTGGTGAAATTGTGCTCTCTTGGAATCCGCTTTAATTCATGAAGGGTTCAACAATTATTTTTCTTAAATGTATAGGTTGATCATGGGTTAAGCTGAAATATATTTTGAAATACAATAAGTGAACTTAACATCAATTAAATTTTATCATTATTAATTTCTTGATTATCATAAATATAAAGTTAATTGATTTAAAATGGAATGTATGATTAAAAATTATTACGGTCGCTACAGTCAAACCTAAAGCATCAGGGTTACTCGCTCTCTCCGTGGACAGAAGGGTCTGAGTTTGAATCTCGTCTGCGACTGACCTAAATCGACAAAAAATAGATAGAAACTGTTCATTCGCCATGCACTCGGCAGTTTGAAGTGAATGTTGCTGGTCCTTCGGATAAGACCTTAAAATCCGAGGCCCCTTGTCACGGCGGGCGTTGGCACGATAAAGATCCATCACTGTTTAAAGATCCTGAGTGCCGAGTAAAGGTCCAAATTTGAAGCTCCTCACAGGTATATAACAACATATGAGTGAAAAATTCTCAAATTGGGACGTTAAAGGAGCTGGGTGGTTGTGGCCATTTTAAGACAATATTGATCTGTTCGATATGAAGATATAGAAAATGATCAAATTTTAAAACTAAACTGTATGAAACTTTTCTTTGCCAAATGATAGTTGACAGCTTATGTTATCATATCTAGAAAAAAAAAGTTATATCTGGTGGTTAATTAAAAGATTATTTATTAATTTGACCCCCTAGCCTCTTTAAACAACATTCTATAAATCAATTAATCAAACCTAAGACGTACATGTAAGCATGTGTATTGACTGTTCTCAAAAGAAGTGAAGGTCAGGATTCTGTGGATGAGACAATTGAAACGGAAGCTTCCTGTCGCCAGCTCGTTGGCACAACAGCACAGTAGCCCCCTGAGAGCCATGAAATGTTGAAAATATGGAGATTAACGAACAGTATTAGATTTCAAAATTCAATGCAAACAATACAAATCAGGAGCAGAGAAATCACGGACATCTTAAACATCAGGGTTAAAAAAATTGAAGCCCTTCATCGGTACATGTATATGGTGACTTCCCCAAATGATTGAGAAAATTTAAACCACAAAATACAATAAATCAAACAAATTTAAACAAGGATATTGATTTTCCAACGTAATGATGTAATAGATTGTGAATAATTTATTGCATCTGTAGTGAATTCTATAAGGTTTTAGGATTACAACATTTTTTCTATGCATTTAAAATACAATTATTTTTCAGGTGACGGGAGAACATATTTTCCGGATTTATCGACCCTCGTTCTTACAGGTCTCCTTACGTGGATGAGCATTTCCTTTTAAAACAACTACCTCAGTATTGTTTATTACAATGTATTACTTTTTAAAAAAAAAATTTTTAAACAATTTTTCTTGTAAATTTGGCTGTATCTAAAACGAGTGCATAGTGTAAAACTGCTTACGTAAATAATCGTATGGAAGTATTAGTTTCTCTAGAATGCGTCTGATATTTATTTATTTATATTGATGAATATTTTCTATTATAAAGAACGTTAGCTAGAATTCAAATCTGAACTCATGCTCACACATTGTTGAAAGGTATTCTAAAGGAGTTATTTGAAGATATCTGACAGTAGTATGGAATACAGTTTTAAGGTTCATTACTTAATCAACAAATGTGAGCATTACTTTATAGATGTATGAATGCAATAAAGATACAAAAATACATTGGTAAAATATTAAAATATTTTGAAGAAAAAAATTAAAGCAAACTTTTAGAATGTATATTTTACCTAGCGAATTATTTTCTTATTCTGTAATGGTGACATTCTTCCATTAAAAAAAATATGATTGTAATCTTCCTTCTGGAAAAAGGCTTTTTATAAGAATGTTGTATGAATAATATATGTATCTTATGAAAAACAATCATCAAGTATGTAATGTAAATATGTGTTTCATTTCTTATAATTACATGTAACTTGCAAATGTATTTAAAGGGATATGGTCACAGTTTCACGAAAGATTTTCGTTTTTTCCCCATGTCTATAAAAACTTAATTAAAGGTATTTTTAATTATCATTAAAAATTGAATTTCAGTTGTCGAGAAAAAAGACAGAAATAGAACCTCAAAGCTTTGTTATTTAAACAAGGGTCGTGTTGTTTTGTTTGCATCTTAGGTTAAATATACTTATATGTTTTCTTTTAATGCATTTTTTTTCAATTAAGAAGTTAGCTCTATATACGATTAGACAGTTTCAAGTGATTTGCTGAATCTGGTTTTATTATTAATTTGATATTATATATATGTAAACAAAAATAAGGCACGAGTCTTTATGAGCTTTATGAGAAATTTAAAGTTCTGTATCTCTTTTGTCAATCAGCAAATGATGTTCAATGTTTTGCTGATTATTTGAATTGCCTTAATAAGGAATTTTAAACATTAACATAGGTCTAGTTTTTTGGGTATCCAGAGCATTAATGATAGTCGGAAACGTGGGATATCTTACATAACGGATGGAACCCGTTTTACATAAATTATCCCAAGTCTACAACTGTTCTTGATGTCCCCTAGCATATACCCAATATACTAGACAGTGATTCTTTATATTTACATTTTATTGTGACATAAAATTGTAAAATATAGATTTAAAAAAAAAAGTCTAATAGATTTAAATTACACGAGGCCTCCTAAGTATGTAAATTTCAATACCCCCCACCCCACTGACGTCAAACACTAAAACAGCTGCACAAAAATTACATGCATATTAGGCCTCCCTAGCTCCTGAATTTTCCATTTCAGAAATAAATGTTCCGGTTGAATTATCAACTCACCTTCCTATCAAAGAGTTATCACAGAGAAAACAAGTAGAAGTCTAATATATTCACTTTAGAATAGTCTGTTATAAAAGAGAACAGGGGATCGGACTACATGTATTTCAACGCTTGATCTATACGTCCGATATGCGTTTTCATAATCATTACAACATCAATAGTAGAAGTCAGAACACAAACAAAAGGATAAGTTTTCATGTATTGCAATGGGTCTATTGTAAAGCAGTAACATTTTATTCGCCACAACAACAAAACATTTTTCCAAACAAAAGATACGATGTAGAATTCTTTTAATTTGTAATGTGACACTTCGTAATTGTTGATGGGGATTCATCCGTTGAATAGAAGGTTCTGTGTTCTTTTATTCGTTTTAAATATATGCAAGCTCTTTACCTTTTCCATCAACAATATGCAATAGGCAAACATGCTTTTGCGTTATCACAAATGCATGTGATGCAAGTAATGCCATAGTAATTAATCTGAATAGTAATCGATTTATTCAATCCGTAAAGAATGGAACATGTGCGCATCTGCATCATAATTTATTACTCTAGTAAGCGGATATACGGAGATCTAAATTTTTCACACTACAGGTAAGAAACACCTAGAATTTCTTCAAGGAAAAAAGAAGCTTGTGCTTCATTTATTACCACTAAAAATATTCAAAACGTATTTATTTCATAACTCTGCAATACATTAAATTTTATGAAGAGTCATACATTTGCACATGTAAGAGTAAGAACCACACCTAAAAGACATGTTACAGTTATTTTCGTCTATTTTTCTGAAATATCTGGTTTTCAATTTCAAGGAAAGATTAATTTGCCCTTTTAAAAAGGAATCCGTTTTAGGTAGTTTTATAATTATTATTTGTTATTCAGGATGTAACTGCTTAGGGTAAAATACTGACTGGAATGGATTGGAGTGGATTGGATTGAAGTTATATAATATATATCAAAAGCATTAGATACAAATTGAAGCAGGTTTGAAGCATGAAGCGAACTTACTTTTTGCCAAAATTAGATTTATGTCTAAGTAATTTTAAGGTCATTTCATGAGAAGAAAATCTTCACCATATAGAATGAGCGGAACATAGCAAATTTTATTTGACGAATTTTTTTTCTTTATATGACCTTACTGACTTCAGAACCCTAGCTAAACAATGAATTAGAAATAAATCCTTTCTATTAATTAGAAATTAAAACATTATTGTTATGTAAACATTTTGTTTGTATTAATGATGAGCTAACTCGCCAAGCAATCCTTTAAGTTACGTGTAAGTGTCCTTTCCTTTTGGAAAACTGTCCATTCTTTTCAATAATGAACATTATTTCAATGCTCAAAACTGAATTTTTACAAAGCTTGAATTTAAGTGGCTCATGGAGGCTTATTGATTTCCGTAAGATAATTCGCATGATCCTACCTCTAGAATTTCTGGGTTCCTGTTCAATATTTGTACGTATATAGATTTTTTTTATGTTGAACCCTGTTCGTTATAAACACTCTTTTTCTTTCTACCATTTTAAAAGTACTTTATAAATACTACCAAACAACCACTTTTACGTTTGGAAAACGATTAATGATTTTATATATTTGTTGAAACATGCATTCAGAAAACAATGGCAGACAAAGAAAACAAACTGAAGGAAAAAAATATGGATGAATTGAAGCAAGAAAAAGTGAAAGGAAATAAAAAACGAAAGCAGACGATGGCGGAAGAAAATAAAAAACGGAATAATGAAAAGGTGGATTAAAATCTAATATCTTTAAGATCATTATTGGAAAAAAATAAAGAAAAAGTAATTTTTTTTATTTCAAAGTTGCTGCATTACTTCTTATTGATAATCTAAACCAATTTTATAAAGATAATTTAATTAAGAACTGAATGACATTAATGTTTTTTTTTATCTAGGCTCACGAAAAAGCCAGTTGTACGTTGATGACTCACAGGAACAATAATGGTAAACTTTCCTTATTCAATTTTTTCAATAATAATGGTGACCCACGTGATGTAGTGGTAAGAGCATTTGCTCTAGAATCACGGAGTAGGAGTCAATCCTTACGTCGGAGGTTCAAACTCTACTATGGGACGTAGAGACTGGTCCTTTGGATGAGACCGTTTTAAAAGCCGAGGCCCCGTGTCGCAGTAGGTGTTGGCATGAAAAAGATCCTTCATCACTGCCCAATGACAAAATTTGCAGCTCTCCACCGGCAGGTGGTGGCGTCTCTATATGAGTGAAAAATTCTCGAGAGGAATACAAACAAACAAATAAACGAATAATAGTGATTAGTCTCTTTCCCCAAGTTAATGTTTATATTGAAAATAGAGATGCTTGTTATCTGCTATGTATTTTTCGTGTTTTTGACATCAATTATCTATCGATTGGTCACCTTTTTAACCTGAGAATTAAAATCAATTGTCACTTGAATTGTAGAATAAAATCAATTTTTGCAAAGGTTGTTGCAGTGGTCTTGGCATCTTGGTGTGATGTTACGAAACGTATCAAATCCTGTGATCTCAAGGAAGCCGTGGAATACCTACGCCGTAAATTTTTCTGTATCTTGTAAGTATGAAAATTCTAAGAACATCAAACAGATCTGGGAAATAGGGATATAGCACTTGTCCTGGATTTCGTATTTCTGTGTATGAGCCTGATTTTAGTGATGATTCCTGGTGAAAGACGAAGAACAGGATATATAGCTTGTTATTTTGTGGTAAATTTTTACGTATGAGATATTTACGTTACCGAACCTGCATAATTACTTACTGATTTTAAAGTGTGGAATAACATCTTCTTTATCGTCTATTTTACAATATTGATTATACAGTCTCATATTTCCTAGCTGGCCATACAACCCCTTGTGTTATCAGTTCTGCTTTTTCTCCCGGTACAACAATATCGTCGATTCCAAAACGACGAAAACGGATACGGTACGTTATCAATTTATTCAAACGTGCATGAAGTTTACTCAAGTTTATATTTTGATACAGATACCAAACCATATCATCACTGTGTTTTAACGTATTATACCTAAAAGGATATTTTATTCAAGTAGCTAATGTGCCAAAGCCTTTACTATTAATATTACTTCCACGGATTATGGAGAACTGAAGCGTCTAATGATTCAATCACTAAGCAAGAACAAGATTTACTGGGATGCTAAGCATCAGCGATAGTACTTCCGACCGTTGGAACAACTTCTTTATCAAGGTTAATTGCATTCAAAATGTAGCTTTTTGAAAACATTTATGATTTTATCACCATTTCGAAACCCCGCATGGCAGCTGATGGCGGGGATTGAAGTTTCTCAAGTGCATATCAACTCCAAAGTTGTAGGTTAAAAAGTCAAAAGTGTTGGTTTCCAAAGGAAGGTCTTGTCATAAGGAATACACCTGTGAAATATGACAGCTCTGGTACTAACTGTTCAAAATTTATGGCCAAGGTTAAAGTTTTTTAAAAGTTGAAGGTCAAAAGTACAAAAATATTTATATCCACTGAAAAGTTTTGTCACAATAAATGCACGTGTGAAATATATATATATATTGTTATGGGTCAGAATTACCCGAAATGCCAGCAAAGATCAATAACACAATTTAAACTTAACAATAATTTATTTACAGTAATATATAATAAGTATACGAAACGTAAAGTACAAACTTAGCAAGAATCTAAAAATACATACATCAGAGTGTCCGTTGCTGCACACAATGTCCCAGTGAAAATATATCCCAGTAATATCTCAATAGTGCTTATACGGCAAAGTATTCACAATTATTGTATATGCATCGAATTGACAGGGTATTTATACAGTATCATAAATCTAGAAATTGTTAAAACATGATATTACTGGAACAATCTGGACATACACAAAATTTAAGAATGTTCTAGATCAAATGACAGAACATGTTAACCACTCTGGAATGTTCAAGAAACTAAATGTTACTAATAATATACAAGATGAAACGATACAAATACAACACACCTCAC